TTTTCCCCCTCACAACTGGCAGTTACTAAGTCAAATCTAAGCGTATTATTCTTTATTTCTAATGGTGAGCATTACTTTTTTTGCTTCTAATTGGCTTTTACATTCTACTGTAGAATGATAGCTTGTAGTTTCGTAGGTTAAAGCCGAACATTAAAACTGGACTGATGGTTTGTGTGAATGTGACCCTCCATTTATTTTCATTGTCCTAAATCACATTATTTAGTTTGGGACCATACTTACTGATGAATAATGCTTCCTTTTGATGTAAACAAAACAAAAGGCCTTCCTTCATGAACATATCCTTAGAGTTTGTTCCAGCCTGGCAGCCAACGTCCTCCTGAGATGCCCTCTCAGGTTTCCTCAGATGCACCGCTGCCAGACATCGGGCCTTTATCGGCATAGACCAGCTCGCTGTGACGCTGAGGGTTTCTGAAACAGATCCAGATGGTACCAGTATAAGGAGGAAATGAGACCACGCAGAGCAGGATGGCAGATCTGGCAGCCTCTTCAAAGACTTGCTATTTGAAAGCTGTGTGTTTGTGTGTTTCCTCTTTCACTGTTCAGGCCTCACAAGCTGTTAGTTAAAAAGAAGTTACACAGTTTGGCATTCTGGTGAAAGACTGATGTAAACAGAGTCGAGTGTTACATGGAAGTCCTCAGTTTGGATAATGATTTAGGCAGTAGCCCAGAAATGACAGGGTCATTGCTGTACACTTAAAAAGTATTTTTTAGAGTATTTCATGTAAAGTATTTCATTAAGGAATAACAAAGTGCGACTGAAATAGTGAGTATTTGTATTTACAGGAGCACTATTTGGCAAATAGAGCTAAAATGGTAAACACAGCATGTTAGCAGGCTGCTAACAGCAGCTGAACTCTGCAAGAAAGTGGTCACATAAGTCCAAGTGTAGCAGCAAAAGCCGCGTAAGCCGAACGTAAAAGGCGAAAAATGTGTAAACTCACTGTGATAAGTCCAGCCTCTCAGAGTCACAGGACCTCGAACTGATCCAGCCGCAATATACATGATTCATTTTTCCAGTCTCCTTCAGACCTAAATTGAGAGATGCAGGTGCAGAGAATGACTTCCAGAGATGTCTGCTGAAACACTGAAGCTATTGGAAAAGCTCTGGTTTCAGTGCAGGTGCAGAATCTGCGGTTTATCAGCAGATGAAGTCATGCTCAGAATTACCGGTACTAGCTGTCTAATGATATGAACATCAGTGGAATCTTCCATCTTGAGAAGGAACTATTTTATAGCCTCTGTACAATCAGACGAACTCCCACTGCCTCCAAATGTATGTCCTGATGAAAGATTAGGAAGCTGATGGCTTACACGGGTATCTGGAAAAATGACCAAAGCTTTTGAAAAGATCTTTGCAGGCTGTTTGGATTGGGTGTGATCCAATTTTATCTCAACCCCCACACAAAAGAAGCCGCAAGTTATTTGAGTTGTTTGTTAGTGTGAATATATAAGCGATCCTTCAACATGTTTTAATTCCCATTTTGTCCACTTTAAAGGGTGTTTTTTTTCCGCTCCAGGCTGAGAATCTTGCTGGATACCACAAACCATGAACCACCAGTATCAAGTCCAGTATCTTTTTCCAAGTTTCCCAAAATAAAAGCAGATGGCTTGTTTGTAGGTCAAGCTTTCAGATGACTCTGTGAAACATACAGTATTTAACGTTGTCTGCACTGTACACCATCTGCTTTCCCCGGGTTTCTTCAAACACAACAGCCTGACTCATCGGCGGCAAAAACCTTTCTGACTTTTCAGCTTTGCCAAACTTTCTCTTCGTCTCTCAGCCCAGCAAGAAGCATCCTGACTCATCATCTGCAATCACTCTTTCTTTCTCCCACACTCTCGCCAGACTTTTTCTTCTTTCCAGTTCGCATGTCCTGCTCTTGTTTAGAGATGTTTTGTTTATCTCCACGATGGAGAAATCCAGCGTGTGACTCACCTCTGGACTCCATCTGTGTAGCCCAGCCTCCGCCCAAACTCCCTGCAGTTATCCCCCCTACCTAATGTCAATGTCTCAAACAATACTCGGTACACTTCCACTCGCTCCACTCGAGCAAACACACAAATGAAGGTACGCTAACTTTATTTGCAGATTTATTTCACAACCTTCTTCTCCCTTTCTTGCCTTACAGACAGCATCATAAGGGACAAAGACTTTGAGGTGATGATGCAGATTGACTGTGTAGTAACAGACACCAGGATCCTCCACATCAGATCTTCCAGCATCCCGCCTCTGCTCCGGGTGAACCGCACTGACACGTTTTACCAGAACTCCCCAGCAGAGAACAAGGTTGCGCCTCCTGTCGGCGTGCTAATGGGGTCTGCGTGAGATCATCAGCGACTCCTGCCTTCTTTACACCTCCTCATTAAAACTCATAAACGGAAGCACAAGATAACACCTCAGTTAATCATTTTTCTCATTTTTATTTGTATGAATGTGGAAACTAGTCATTGGAGGTTACAGAGGAAGCTCGATTTGTCCTCACCGCTCAGCCGCTTTCTGGCTGATTTCTGGAGCTGCACTGTAACAGGGTCCAAGCAGCAGCAGACTAGCTCCTTGTGTGGCAACACTGACTTACCCGTGTAACCCCAGATGCTTTATGTAAGGGTAATTGTTTAGCGGCAGGGGGCAGAGCATTGAACCTTGAGTTACCCCATCATAACACAAATACTTTTACCCCTTACAGCTTACTTTCAGTCGGCTCTTTTTTCTGCACAAGCTCCAAAGCTCTGTGTGTGTGTGTGTGTGTGTGTTTAAAAAACATTAAATACGTTTTAAAAATGCATTTTTATTTAAAATGACCTGTTTGTTTGCTACAAAATTGAATGCTATAATCATTTCTTTCTGTCTCTGAAGAAAGCAAATCTCATCAGTGATGTAGTCACACATGGCAGATGAGTTATCTGCAGCAACAGAGGCACAAACTCAGGAAGTTAAGTGATCTTTGAACCCTATCTGGCTAATTGCTCTGTTATCTGCTGGTTTCTATTGCTGTTGATGAAGATTTTCACTAGTTAATTTTTTCGGGTCTTTGCTGTGTTTCTATATTCATGGACAGGTTTGGTTACTGTACATATTTATTGCTGTTATTATGTAACAGCACACATCTGTGGTTTAATCCAATTCCCTCATTTTTATCTTCCTTTGAAAAATTCAGTAGTGAAGTTTTTAAAATGCTTTCTTTTGTTATTCCTGTTGACTCCAAAAACATGTTTTATATATGAAATAATAAATGGCAGATAGAAAATCTATTTATGCATAAAAACTAGGTTCTATTCATCATGAAATTTTATCCCAGAGCATAAAAAAAGCTTCGTCATATTTTATAAAAGCTCGTTTTTGCCACTGAATTAAAAAAACATTCAACAAGTTTCAGTTTTCTGTATCAAAATTTCAACTTACTAACTCGAACTTATGAGACAATAAATCCTAATTGATATAATGGCAAAAAAATGCCTTTTTCAGTTGCATAAACACTTAATAGTTACACTAAAAGGTCTGATGTTTAACCTCTGGAGTACTTCTCCATCCACACAGCTCCTGCTTTTATTCACTGCGTTTGAGAAAAGTTGCATTTTTGTGCAGAATTATGATGGTCTATGATCTGTTTTGCTAATTTGAGGGTAAAATTTGCACTATTAATGCAGAACATTGGATGTACTGTTCTGGCTTTTAATTTCTTATATTTGTTTTTTTTTTTTGGTCTATCTATGAATAGAGACAGATCTTATATAATAAATCACATATAATAGTAGATAAAAAAAAATATGTGATCAGAATTAGTAACCTGTTTTGTCTTCCTGTACATAGCGATAAAGCGAAGTCGTCTCTGTATCGCTGTGCGTTTCTTGTCGTCCTTTCTGCTTACAGAAATACATTTGGGTCAAGAGTGTTTTTGCTGCATCTCTGCTGTATATGGGGGCAAAGAAAAAGTACAATAAAAAAACTTTTATTTTTATTTTTTGTATGTGCAGAAACCAAAATAAACACTGGATTTTCTGTAGCCGCGTGTTCATATCTGTTGAGCTGTTCGGGGAAACCCTAAACAGAATACGTTTGATTTTTTTTCCCTCAGGTACAAAAGCTGTTCCAGGGTCTTTTCTCCCACAATAACTTTACAACCAGTAACAGTGGTTTAAATTACAGGTGTGAACAGTCATTCGTTTCATGTCTGTATTTATGGTCTTTTCTCTTTAGTCCTTTCCTGCCTGGTTTCCTTCTATCCTCACAGCATTTGAGTTTAATTAATGCTTGCAAGCTATGATTAGAGCCAATTAGGTGTTATCCGTGTTTAGCCAGACAATGAAGACATTTTCTGTTAGCATCTCAAAACTTTATTGCAGTCTCCTCAAAGCAGTCTGATATGGCGGGAGTAAGCGCTTTCATGTGAGGAAGGATGTGTGGCATATAAGGCCGAAAGTTCAAAAAGGATACAAAACTGTATGAATTCTGTTTCTCTGAACAGAGCTGTCGATCAGAAACATTTCGACATTATTCAGCTACTCTTTTATAGCATTCAATGTTCATTCACCGGCCACTTTGTTAGGTACACTTGTTCAGCTGCTTATTAATGCAGCCGATCAAACTGCAGCAACTGAGTGCATTTAGGCATGGGGGAAACGACCCTATCCAACTGGTGAAACTGAACATTACAATGGGGAAAGGTGATTTAGGAGACTTTGCAGAACTTGGCGTGGTTGTTGTTGCCAGGTTGGCTGGTCTGTATATTTTTGCTGAACTACTGGGGTTTTCCCACGTAGGCATGTGTAGCTTTATAGAGAACGCTCCAAAAAAAGAGGAAATATCCTGTTTGCAGCAGTTCTAAATGCCTTGGTGATACCAGAGATCAGAGAACTGTATGAGCTGTTGGACGGCATCAGTAACTCAAACAAACACTTTAAAACCGAGCTATGCAGAAGAGCATGTCTGATTGCACATGTTGTACTTTGAAGCAGATGGACTACGACAACAGAAGATCATGCTGGGTGCTGTCAGCAAGGACCAAGAAACTGAGGCTACAGTCTCCACAGACTAATCGACATTTCACTATAGAAGATTGAAAAGAACATTTCTTAGTCTGAGCCTCCATTTCTGCTGGAACTTTCAGATGATTGGGTCAAAATGTGGTGTAAACAACACGAAGGAGCCATGCAGGCTGGTGGGAGCCAAAAGGCTCTCTTCCAATTTTGTGCCCCTGAGTATTATCACTCACCATATCCATCCCTTTATGACGACAGTGTACCCATCCTTTGGTGGCTGCTTCCTGTCACAAAGTTCAGATGAACTCAAAGTAGTTTCTTAAACATGACAATGAGTTCACTGTTACTTCACTGTTCACTCGGTAACTTGAAATGGCATCAACAGCCACCAGATCACAATCCAATAGAGTACCTTTGAGATGTGGTTGAATGCCATCATGCAGGTACAGCTAATAAATGTGCAGCAACTGTGTGTTGCTACCCTGTCAATATGGACCAAAATCTGAGGAAAGTTTCCATCTTCTTGAGTCTGTGCCATGAAGAATTAAAGCAGCAGTGTATACCTAATAAAGTGGCTGATGAGAGTATAGAGCGCAACTTGATGTGTCGACTGAGGAGTAAGTCTTATTAATTTATTTTAAGTAGAAATACAAAAAAAAATCTTAATAAGAACAATTTTGAACACAATATATTGAATTTTATACATTTGGCCCCTCGCTTCTCTCCATACATGAAGCCATGTGGACTGATCTACAATCCATAAACCATAGTATTAACAATTACACTTAAAACAGATCCTTACTGAGCATCAACATAGGCAAGCTTTATGTTGTATGTGACTTGGTGTCCATTGTCCCATGCGTACAAAACACCCTCCTTAGGATTGTAGTCAATCTGTGTGGTGTAGGTGTAGTTGTTGATGAAGGGCATTCTGGGAATCATTTGAGTGTTTGTGTGCGTGTCGAAGGCATATTCCAGGTTGGCGTCTCTTTGGTTATAGCTGTCAACAGCATACAGGACGCCACACACAACGAAGCAGTTCCCGAAGTGGTTTCGCTTGAGCCCCGTTCTCCAAGTGGTCTCCCTTTGCATGCTGAGGTCTGAGGGGTCCAGTCGACTTAGGACAACCACTTCCTGTAAGAAGCCCTCGTCATCCAGTGCCGGGTAGATGATCCACAGGCCGCTCTCGTCCACAGCAAAGTCGATGTCCGAGTGGCTACGCCAATCCCAAGGCGACGACGAGTCTTCATACAGGGCATCGTGCAGCATGGTCCAAGCAGCCACGTAACGCTGTCGCAGGTCAAACTTGATGATGTCACGGGAGAAGGCGCGATTGTAATAGAAGGCCCCGCCATAGACCACATGGCCTGTGCCGATCCAGTTGTAAGGAAGCTTGTAGGAGTTACTGAAACGGCCTAGAAAAGATACGTAGACGATGACATTTATTACATCTTATCAAAAAAATGTCAAATTAAAGCTAGTTCTAACTCCAAAAAGCACACATTCTTACCTTGCTTGAAAACTTCCAGGTTGCGGAATTCCAGAAGGTTGTTTCCATAATAGAAGTTTGTCACATAAATTTTGCCGTTATCAGATTTCGGATCCTTCATCCATGCTCCCTCATTTCTGCCATAGGTGTTGTGAGTGACTGGCTCGGAGATTGTTGCCAAAGTGTCCTTGCACTCCTCTGTAAAGAAGACAGAGAGCTCTGAGGGAAGTTTTAAAAGCACTTTAACATCATCCAGACCTACGTCAAAGGGTCTGAAAACAATTAAAGGCTTTTGTTTTAACCAGCTTGAATCACGGAAAGGGGAGGGGTAACACAGAGAAGAGAGCCCTGTCTTGTGAAGTTCAGTCATTCACCAACAAATATCAGTTTCTGTTTCTCTAAATGAAAATGTGAGGTAAGTCTGTACTTTTGAAGTGACATATGCTGACAATAATTTCTGGCTATACACTGGCTCTGGCTGCAGGTGGACACAGTTCTTTATTATTTACCGGGTTTCTTTGGCCTGGATTCCTCATGCCTCTGCATCGGTTCGTCTAGTTCCATGTGTCCTTCCTCTTCCCAGCTGATTTTGTATCTCTGTTTGACCTGAGCAGCCTGTTTGGTAGTTGTGGTGGTGGTAGTTGTGGTGGTGGTGGTTGAAGACGAGGTAGTTAATGCTGCAGGAAGCAAAGCTGTTGGTGTCTGTGGCAAATCTGAGCCTGAAAAGTCGGTGGATGTTGTTTCTTCTGGTTGTTTTGTAGTAGCAGCCTGTGTGGAGGTAGCAGTTGTGGCAGCTGTTGTGGGATGTACCGGTGCTGTGGTCGGGTCAGCGTGGGTTGTGAGGGTCATAGTAGTCTCCAGGCTGGTAGTTAAAGGCTTTGTTGTTGGATTTAGTTCAACAGAGCCTGGATTAGCTGAAGTACTGCCAGCTATGGTTTGCAATTGGTCTTTTAGCTCCACACCAGAGGGTTCCTTCACACTGGTGGGTGTATTTGTTGTTGTGAATGCTTGTGCATTTTCCTCCGTCGCTGTGTTTTCAGAGGCTTCGACTGAGGTTTTGTTCTTTTTCGGCTGACTAATACTTAAAGAAATGTTTGCTGCTTCAATCAGCGAAGGGACTGGTCTGTTGGTGATTCCAGCAGTGACTGTTTGAGTGGTCTGAGGCACGAAGTCTGTGGTCCTGTCTTTGTTTTCTGCAATAGGTGGTCCAAGGCTGATGCTTCTCACCGTGGATGTGTCACTCTGTGCAACCGATGTGGTTCCCATGGCACTGATAAACCTTTGAGGAGTTTTTAAGGGCTCAGTTTCTTTTGTGTTTTTTGATTGGCTGGTCTTCTTAGGTGCGTGCAAAGGACCTGTTGTTTTTGGTCGAAACAATCTCAGTCCTTCTCTGCTCCAGGGCCGAGGAGATCTGGGTTGAAGCAGATTCTCTTCGGTAAAGAGGTTATCTGGACCGTCACCGCTCAAACCATACTCAAAAACTAAAAGAAAGAGAGGAAAAAGATTTGAGCACCACAAGAAAATGTTAGAAGCAGAGTTGAAATACAGAGTTCTGCTGTTTGTTAGCTGAGAGCCAGCAAAGCTTCTGTGACCATCTCTCACTGCTACGACACATCCTGAACTGTACAAATGACTATAATTACACATCCAGAATAAACACTTCTCTCTAGTCTTCGTTGCTTTAATGCCACTTAAGGTAACAGACAGATTGCACTCACAGTTCTCTCCAGGCTCCCCATCATCTGCCACCATCGGATCAGGCTCCGATTTATAAAAAGTCATTCCTCTGATAATCATTCCAGATGATCCAGCCTTTGACACCTGAGAAGCCTCCTTATTAGCGCTACTTTTGAGGGTCACCTGAGGTCTGACCTCAATGATCTGACCAGAGCCGTCTGTGTGTAAGAAGGGTTGATTTTCCACAATGAGCTTCCCGTCAAACTTTTCCTGTTAGACAACAAGGCACACAAAACTTCTGAGGAAATCATTCACTCTGTATTAAGAAGAGATCAATTACGACCCTTTGGCTATAAACTGTACAAACAGCTGTCAAGGATTTGGATTGGTGTAACAAAGATATCTGTGAAATCTTTCAAAAAGTATGTTATGTTTTTTATTTTTCACAACCAGCAAAAGAGAATTTGGAGTTGTGTAAATAATGAGTCAGTGTGTGGCAAAGAAACTGTTCAGATCTAGTGAGAAGAATAGCATAGAAGAGCTGAAACTCCAACAAGTTGCAATGATCCCAAATTATCCCAAAGTGCAGAGGAAAGTTTTAATCACAAACCTAATCTAAAACATTTGCCTTGTTTTACTGTCACTTTAATAACCTTGTTGGATGTTTCCTGTATTTTTTCTAGTGAATCAACTGTGTTTAAAGTCCAAGACCATGCAATCCTCCTGGATGGGCTCTCAAGTTTATACTCGAGCTGTCAGGGCCCAGCGGTACACTCTGTGGTCTGAGGTCTGCTATCGTCCTGCCAATCCTTTCAATTACATCAATAACTTTCTTTTACACATTTCTGGGCCTTAATCACGGAGACAATGATTTTTACGAAGGACTTTGTGGAAAGAACACGTAATTGTTCCTTTTGCTTTGGAAGAATGTTAGCAGGCTAAACAGAAACATCTGACTGTGATCACTTCTTTGATACGTGTTTCCTTCAGTCACAGCCTTGCATTCAATGGGAAATATCAGTGCTGCAAATGAAAAGTGACTCCTGATACAATGTTATCTCAGTATCTTCCACAGCATGTCTTTATCCCGTCTTCCTTCTCTCACCCCAACCAATCACAGCAGATGGCCCCGCCCCTCCCTGAGCCTGGTTCTGCCGGAGGTTTCTTCCTGTTAAAAGGGAGTTTTTCCTTCCCACTGTCGCCAAAGTGCTTGCTATAGGGGGTCATATGATTGTTGGGTTTTTCTCTGTATCTATGAAGCGCCTCGAGGCGACTTTTGTTGTGATTTGGTGCTATATAAATAAAATTGAATTGAATTGAATATATTACCCATGATGACATGATATACTGCAATCATGCAGTACTTGATGCAATACTTACTGAACAATGTAGGTATTCTCATTTTTAGTAACAAACATTTACAGTTGAAAAGAATTTTATTGTAGCTGTATTTAAATAGTTAATAAGCAAACAGTTATTTCACTAAATACAGGGAAATAATTACCTGTAGAACCCGGTAATTGTTTAGTTGCTACTATGTTATTACAGCGTCTCCATAGATTAAGCCTGTGATGTCAGTATTGTCACACTTACCTCTGGGTCTTGATTGGCTGCTGCCCTGCTGACCTCACCAACTGTCGTCCCATCCTTATGCTGATTTGGAAGAGGAGTAGGTGGGCTTTCAGTCACACTTCCTTGAACAGAAGTGCTTTCCCAAAACTTCACCTCATCCACAGTCGGATTCAGAGACACCAACTGCATGCAAACATGGTGAAAGGTAAACAGACTGGTTCTTATAGAGCACTTTACTCTCGAGTATTCAAAACACTTTATACACTTTATACCCCCCCCATGGATGTATCAGAGAGAAACTTGGGTTTAGTATCTTGCCCAAAGATATTGGCATGCACACTGAAGCAGCTGGGGATTGAACCCCAGCCTTCGAAGTTGTAGATGAAGCTATGCCTTCTGAGCTACAACCATCCCGACCTTGCATATGCTAATCCTAGCAGAGGAAGAAAAACTTAGGGTGTCAAAGACCTCAGGTCATCAGTAGGACTTTCAATTCAGAGACTGCAACTGGAAGTCCTGACAATAAACAATCATGAAACCAAAACAGATCAACAGAATTCAGTCATCATTCATTTGAGTATTTTTTTACTGCTGTGTGTCCAAATCTTTGTCCTTATTTATGTAAAGGACAAGTGCTAAAACAGTTTAAGTGCTCCCTTTCAAGAAATCAGCGTGATCAGCATCTTTACTCACTATTTATGGCATTACCACACATCTCTACAAGTGACCTATTCATTTGCTATAAATGGAAATAATTGCTATGAATATAACATTAGATGTGCCTGAGTATAAGCCATCAGGTGAGTAAGCTGTTTGGGGCTGTATTTCTGGAGGTAGAGCAGGTCATCTAATTAAAAGGTTGGTGGTTTGATACTGTACCCCAAGTTTCTCTTCGATGGGTTCATTAAAGTGTGAATATTAGACAGAAAAAAGCGCTTGTGTGAATGAAGCACATCATATAAAATGCTCAAGTGGAGTAAAAAGTGTTAGTTAGAGATTAATGTACTTTATGTAGGCAAACTTTGTTGTCTAATTTAATCACAAAAACTACAAACTTTCTTTGTGAACTGAATAGGGAATAGTTAGTTACAGTATTTTACTTTCCCTTTGATAATATTCACATTTTGCTACAATTGTTACCAAGCAAAGGCAGAGTTTGCTATGGTGCTAAAGACAGGCAAATAATTATCTGTGGAACTCAGTAGTTATGTTATGCTATGTTATTACAGTGTCTCAATAGGTTAAGGCTGTGATATATCCATGTTAAGATGTTACACTTACCTCTGGGTCTTGATATGCTGCAGCTCTGCTAACCTCTCCAACTATCTTTCCACCCTGAGGCTGATGGGGAACCTGAGTCGGGCTTTCAGTTAAACCTGTTTGACCAGTAGGACCTTCCCTGAGTTTCACCTCATCCACAGATGGATTCAGAGACACCGCCTAAATGCA